TTACTTAATTAGCAGCATTTAGGAAAAAAGGCACACTTCTATGCATGCAGAAACATTTTCTTGACAAACTGTATATATATATATAAAAAAGCTTAGATTCCGATCCTCTGTTCGACGTTTTACATCATAAGGTATTTATCTGAGAGAGCACCCATTACAGAATCTAGTGATATATGACGGCACGAAAATTAACATGGGTCTGGCCCGACATATTTTACAGCCATTGCAAATAATTTTATGCGCGTGTTTGTTGTTGTGCCGTTGCAGCAAGAAAATCCCAAGAAGAAATATCTAGTGACAAATTAGGGCCGGCAAAATATGTCTTCCAATAAAATCGATTAAACTAGAGAAGGCACCGATTATAATGAGAGAAATGTAAGTTTTCAAGTAGTTTTCAGCGAAAACTGGTTTTCAATGTGTTTTCGTTTGACAGATTTTATATGGACGAAAACACAAGTTTTAGGGTGAAAACCAGTTTTTCCCACGAAAACATGTTTTCACTGTCGGTGCGAACATAGTATTAGCCCTTTTTTACTTGTTTGTCATTCGTTTGATGGTTGGTTTGCCAATTGTAAACTAACAGCAGCTAAAATTTTATACTCGAAAAAAATTAACATGTGCATTAACAAAAAATTAAAAAACGCCGTAAACGATTTGTATATTCAAAAATTTCTATATTAAGAAGGCGTTGACATATCTTGTAATTGGTATTGATACTATTTTAATTGAGCTAATAATCGTATAAAAGCTTTATGAATTATTCATGTTTATACTCTGAACTGTAACTTAAGTCCATTTATGAAATGTTTTTTAATAGGATAAAAATGAAGACAAAGATCTTTTTACACCCTTTTATACTATAAAAAAAATGCACTTTTGAAGGGTATTAAAGCTCCGGTGTAGCCAAAGTCAGCATTTTTTCTTCTTTTCTCTATTTTTACTTTCTGCCTCATTCACTTTAACATCATTTAGCTTATGTACGTGTAGTGCAGTGTTTTCGTTATACTTTATAGTTTAAAGGCTTAAAAGATAATCGATCTAATTCTGAGTTGCAAAACTGTGTGAACAGTGGTCGTTTAGTTTTAGAAACATTGTTACAATGTCGAAATATTCATACATATGTAATAGTCAGTACACTTATAAATAATAAGTTTTTATAAGTAGCATATGACAATATTATTAATATAAATAATTAACACCAACAACGCTTGCAAGTAGGATATTGCTTTTCTTTTTGATGAGTTCAACTTAATGATGACTTGGATTAGAACCGACGATTTCTTTTACTTACTCCATCATATTCATTCACAATAACACTACCATTTTATATTAATGGGATAATTAGCATATTTACTTTAATTATTTTGAATACTCACCTATTACAGCTCCTTTCACAATAACTCTATATCAATTTATAACTCGAACAAAATGTTCTATAGCTTAACCTTAATGGGCTTGTGTCTGCACTAGTATACCAGTATTTTCGCCGTGCAGTTTTGTTTTATGCTGTCCGACAGCTATAACTCCTAAACCTTTTCGTGTTAAGTACAAACTTAAGTAATATATTTTAACGTTCAATGTTCAATGATATCGCATATAATCGTAAACCAGTTGCTATGCTGATATCTTGAAATTCCGCGCTTCGCTCACCATGTCGCCCTCTCAACAGCTTTATGAACTCAAGCTGTTTTACGGGTTGATAACTCACTAACTAGCGTGGTTTTTATGTGAGTATACCTGCACATGTATAACCATTGTTGTTTCGCTCAATAGAAGACAACCACACAGAGAATACATTTAGTGAGGAAAAAGAAAACATTTGTGTTCTATGAAAATGTGTAGTCCGCAGCAGGTTGCTACTCATCTGATTGAAGCGAAATTTGTTAATGAGTACAATTGTTCTGATACTTGTATATTTCATACACATATATGTTGCTTTAAGCACATAGACGACTGCAATTCATGACGTAGCGAATGCTAAATATCATTATCTGCAAATGGCGTCTTGAAACCAGTTTCTTGAACATTTTGAAGGCTATTTTATGCTTCTGCTGGTGAAATAATATTACACTTTTTAGCGTTTTCAATAATTTTACATTTATTGTATCTGTTAGTGTAACCAATACTGCAAAAATATAAAGTGATTTAATTCGGCGACAGCGACAAGTGCAAGCCTATTGCCGTAAAGGCGTGCTGTTGTCTGTATAATTGTATCCATAAGAATGGGTATACAAATTTTAATATTTGCCAGATGTCACCTGTCGACTGTCGCCTGCTGTCTTCAATGTGTTTAATGCATCTATAGGTATTGGATGTGCTTTATATAAAAATTAAATGTAGAGGTACCATATAACTTACTACTGGTTTTCAGATCTATTGACTTTTGTTATGATAATAAATGTTTTATATTTTTCACATGTCTCGGTTGTAAGTACATTTTATTTGCACTAGACGCAATAAAAAGATTAAATTAGTAATATATTTATAACGTCAAATTAAAGAGCGCTTATATACAAATTTACACTTTATGTTGATATCTCGTTAACTTGATGAGCGAATGTTTGCTCAATACTAAATTTATTGTTTCAAATGCATGTACACACATACACACGATGTGAGTTCTGTGTACGTCCATATGCATTCCTATGTAAATAATTTTAAATTATAAATAGCAATTTCGTTGGTTATGTGTTAATAACAAATAATTTTGAACTTACTGATAACTTTCACGGAAGTAATATGTGAGTGGTTATTATTTGATGCAACTGAAAGGAAGTTTCAATTATATATATCCAGTATAAATAGGCGTTAATTTAAAAACTTAAGAAGGAGTCAAGTTTATAAAATTGTTCCATTGTTGTGTTTTAAATAATATGTCAAAAATTATTTTTCCCGCAACTCACACTTTCAAAGTCTGCGCCCCTCATAACTACAGATCTGAGATCCTTTTGAAATTTTGTACGCTATTTTTGTCCTTAATATACGAGTTAACGCTGGAGTGTTATTGTTCTTTTTTTGCAAAACTTTTTTCTTACGATTTTAAGCATTTGCAATAAAAATGAATTTTGAAATAATATTCCCACTAATGGTCGAAAACGAAGCTCCAGAGATACATTACCAATTAAGGACAGTTGGAGGCGATAAAAATCTTAAGCAATTATGTATAAGATTTACCCGTCAAAATTTGGAAGGAATATACAAAAAATTAAGACATTTTTACGCTATATAGACGATTCAGGTCGTCAGGTAAGCATATATTATTAAGCGAGCTTCTAACTTTAAAAGTGCTTTTCTCAAAAACTTATATATAGGATTATATACATACATATATATAAACAATCAATATTAAGAGACGTGTTGAATCCGGGTGACTGTTTATCTGTCCGTCCGCACATCCTTGTAAACTGTAACTTGAGTAAAAATTAAGATATCTTGATGAAACTGGTATACGCGTTCCATGTCACAAAAAACAGTATGTGACCGGATCTTTGCTACGCCCACAGAACACCGTTAACCAAAAACCTATAAACTACCATAACTGAGCTTTAATTTAAGATAAAAAACTTTAATTTGGCACAGAGGATTGCAGATGCAAGCTTTCTGAACTATGTTCGAGAAGGCGTTTATGTAAATCTATCTTATGCAAAAACAAAAGCAATTACGAACTTCCCGTTAATTGTCATCGCCGCACCGCTGTCAGGAAGAAGGGAAAATTTTCAGAAAGACCAAGCAATCCAGAAATTGAAATCAGCATGAAGTCCACATGTTCTATAACCCGAAAATGGTGACCGAGATAGATACAGACGCGTGCATGTCTGGATACGGATCAGTGTTGCTTCAAAAGAATCGTGACGATCAAGTGACCATCACGTTCCATGCATAATGAGTGGTTTATAGAGTTTGGTTTTGTTCGTCGAGAGAGGACTTTACTTCTCAATTACCTACTCAGTCCAAAGTAGAACCTGTTGGCACGAGTTATTCTTTGCTGGATTTCAAGGCTGACATTGTTGGTGCTATTGATGCTTGTTCCAAGATAGACAAAATATCTACGACTTCAAAGTTATAACTGTCAACAGTGACGTGAGAGCCAAATCGCAAGTGCGACGACTCTTTGTTTGATGACAGGAGATACATATTTGGTCTTGCCATCGTTCATCACCAGACCCATTTGCTTCGCTTCTTTATCCAATCTGAAGAAAATAGAACGATTGGCGCGAATGCTGAGGACAACGATATCGATATCATCGGAAACCGCCTCCACTGTACACTCTTATGGAAGATTGTACCTGCTCGATTAAGTTCTGCAGCTCGAATTATTTTCTCCAGTAACAGGTTGAAGAAGTCGCACGATAGGGAGTCGAATTGTCGGAAACTTCGTTCGGTATGGAACGGCTCGGAGAAGTCCTTTCCGATCCTGACGGAGCTTTTGGTATTGCTCAACGTTAGTTAACACAGGATCTACTCGCCTGAGTCCCTGTCCCGTCCATCGCATTTCTTGGGCGGCGGCGATGTCAGCCCTCACTCTAACGAAGACATCAACCAGCTGGGCAGCGGCACCTTCTCAATTAAGCGACCGAACATTTCCGGTGCATGTCCTTAAATCTTTATCCTTAGTGCGTCTGCCATGGTTGTCAACAAAAGGAAGGTTTCTCTTCCGAGGCTATTGTTTCGCTTTAATTGGGTGTGTTTTTTTTCGTAACGCACAACCACGTTGTTTCGCCTTCTCACTTTAGCTCTCCTTCAAAGACCAGAGGATAATTGGTCAAAGACTGGAAGTCGTGAGCTATTGAGCCATATGTAAAATAATCGTTTCTGGCCACTACCAAGTAAATGGCATTCAGAAAACTTTCCTCACTTTCATGAACTTCAACACATGACTTTATCCTCCAATGCATGAGTAGGAAAATAAAGAAATCCGAAGAAATACCATTCGTACAAACTCTTGTACCTCGATGACAGAGGAACTTGAGAAGCGGAGAGTGTATTTGTGATTTGTTGCCGCCGTTCGAAATCGCCAATAAAAAATGTAAAACAGTGAAAATTTAAGAAAGTGCGAAATTTAAAGGTATTTTATGAAACGCTTTGTAATGGGATGCATAGTAGTATTAATTTTCAATTTTCAATTACAAATTAGTCACTATATTAATTATTGAAAGTTAAAAAATCAGTTGTTTTAGTATATTAGTTAGTTTTTGTTCTGATCATACTAAATTGCATGATATACAGAAACAATTTATTGTATATCTCAGATGAGCTATCTATACCATATATTTGCGCACCACAGTTAGAAGGCCAACAGAAAATCCGCTGGAAATATTAAACGATTTACAAACTCAAAACCTAAAAGGTGAATAAATTTTTCCAAAGCCTAAAAGAATATTTAAGTTGAAAAAAAACTATATTTCTATTACTACTATTATATAGAATGAGTTTTGATTAACTTTTTAGTAGATTATTTTTGTAAATTTGAACTACTGACTACCATAATTTTTAAATCCTTTAGTGAAATCTGTTAAAATTCAAATTTATTTAGCAACGTTTTTTAAATATTATTTCAAATCTATGTAAACATATGCAAATAAACAAATATAACTTAATTTGTATTTTAAATTTTTTAAAGTTCATTTTTTTTATTATTTAGATAAAATTGATACTTTCGATGCATCAATATTTTTATCCGATGTCAATTTGCGATGCATCATATCGACAAAAAATCGGTGTTTTTTTTTATCGGACATCTTTAGGTAGAATTGACCACTTTTCATACTTCAACATTCTCAAAAATACTATGGAATCATTCGCGCTCGAATCGATGTTTGTGAAATTTTTTATAGGCAATAAGTAGTTCAGTCATAAGATCTTTGTAATTGTCAACTTTCACATTTTCAAGAAAATTTTTAACAACGCTCTTAAAGGCACTGCGGGCTCGTATTTCAGTTTCATCCAGCACGGCATGATCTAAAGGCAAAGATGGATAATTTTTACCGTTATGAACCAATGCCATCTTTTAACTAAGTTTAGAGAAATCAAGGAATAGACGCCAATTATCATGTTTTTGTCCTAGTGCGTTAAACATAAGGTTAACTTCTGAACAGTATACTAGATCCCCTTCTTGAAGAAAGCAATTTGTGAGATTTTGCTACCTTATTATGTTAAAAATATAATTACATCACTTTGGAGAAGGTTCCAACCTTTAGGTCTGGATGCTAAAAGTTCGGACTGCGATTTTGAAAGGCTTAGATCTCGAACTAAGTCAATTAGTTCACCCTGTGGAATTATATGGTAAATTACGGTACTTAACGTTTGTTTAGACTTCTATCCAATAACTTTAATATTCGTGAGGGAAAAATAGCAGTCTGTAACATGGTCTCTATGTTCTCTCCAAACCATTGACACTGCAACGGGGCATTTTACAATTTTAACATTTTAACGAAGCTGTTAACAATGTTACACAAGTTTTACAACAGATATGAGGGGACCATGCTTTTTTTGGCCCCAACTTTAACACCAAAATACAGTGCGTAAGCTTTTGGCACAAGCGGAGTAAAATTACGTTTTTGCGTTGTAAAAGTTAGTTCTCCGCAGACATAACAAAAACTGTTGCCACGATTTACGCACTGCCTAGGCATTGTACCTAAAACTCTAGGAACTTTCATGTCACAAATTATGTGTCTACCAGGATCCACATATCTCCGGACCTATTTACCTGTTTCAACCAAATTTGCTACATAGAACTATGTATTTCCACATGTGACATGAGATAGATTCCAACTAATTCATTCACTTTCTAGTATAGACTTCGAGAACCAATCAATATACTCGTATTAGCATAAAACTAACTTTGTGCGGATATGCTTTTGAAGTATGCCACCTTATGACTAAAATTGTCCAAATGAAACTTTCATTATTCAAGTCCCCAAATTTCAAAAACGTGGACCCTACACCACATGGCTGATTTCTTGCGAAAATATTGGTCAATGGGAGAGACATATAATTGAAATGAGAAGAAACTCCTCTTTTGATAATAATACATCCATATGTCAAAAATAGGTTGAATCGGATCAATATTTCTTTTAGCCCCTATACCCAACAGAAAGCTTTTTAAACCTCTGGCCGGCTTTATACCGCATACAGAGGCCAGAATGTGAGTTATCTTAACTTAATTTAATGAACGTATTCTTCTGCTAACGTCTCTCCGTCTAAATTGAATAAAATCGGGTTCAAACTTACCCTGGCCCTTGCGCTTTCTAACCTACGGTTGAAAC